CAGGGCTGCAGCTGGGAGACCTGCTAGAGGCGTCTGTCTGGTGCTTCCTGTGGAACATTTTTATGAACAAGCTGGATGAAGATGCAGGAGGCCTGTTTATCAAATTTATAGGAACTGCAAAGTTGGGAGGCAGAGCTAGTAAGTTGATGGCAGAGTCAAGATGTTTAAATATTTCATCAGGATGAAATTAACAGGATCACATCTGCATCATAGAATTGCAGTATTGCGAGGCATTTTCAGATCATCTGGTCGGAAGCATATATCTTACCATGAGTAAGATCCAGAGAGTTTCCATATTTTGGCCAAGGTTGTACAGCAAGTCATCCTCACCTGTAAGGCTCAGAAACACCTTGACCTCGTCACATCTGCAGACAGGCCTCGCCAGAACCAGGTCCTCCCTCTCATGTCTGCATTTTCCCCACGTCCCATGGCAGCACCCTGGCAGAGTGACGCCATCTCAACCTGTGTCAGCGTCTGTGTCTCTTCTCTGCTCGTGTTCTGTCTTGGAGCCGTGGTCCACTAGAATGTCTGCTGTTTCTGCAGAGTCTCTCCAATAATTGTGTCCATGGGAACACCAACCGGAAGCCCACCACAGGGACACCTCTGACACTGACCGTCTCTGCACTGTGGATTTCAGCCCTGACACACCTGTGGCAGCTGAGGCTTCACGTGTGTGTAACCTTAATTCATGTCCCACTAGACTGTAAGCTCCTTGGGCAGTGAGGGGCTCCTTGTTCCAGCTACGGCGTCGCAGGGCCTAGTATGGGTGGACACACCGCACCTGCAAGCTGGAGAGGGAGGGAAGGAGCAGGAGGGGTTGCTCTGAGGGGTCGATGTGGGACCATCTCACTGAATCCACACGACAGCCCTAGGTGAGTGCTAGGACCACCTCATGGGAGCATGCTGGGGCTGAAGGCGTCAGTACATTTGCCCACATAGAGGTTTGGATCTTGACCCATCCAGCTGGGCTGTCTGAGCCTCCATCCATCTGGGTCATGCTGTGATGAGGCACCTGGGTGTCAGCCTGCGAGGGAATGGGTGGATGCCTCAGCCTGGCTGGAGAAGCTGAATATCACACATCCCATTCCTCTAGCCTGGAGCCAGCAACTGCTTGGTGTTTGTCATTCCTCTGCCAGGGCAATGGTTCCAACCTCAGAGATGGTTCTGCAGAAAGGATCAGGGTGGAGAGAAGTGCCTCTGAGGGTTTAGGGGTGTGCTCTGCACCCACAGCAGGTGTGCACAGCCTCAGATGGACCGTTAAAGTGTCTTGTTTACAAAGGGAAAATCGTGGCTTTGGTTGCAGTGCCCGGAACCCAGCTCCACTGGATCTCGGATATGTGCATTTTACTGGATAATATGCTGCCCTCTGCACATGGGCAAAATCAGAAAACCTCAGCTTTACAGACTTACCAGCGTGGGACAGATGCCTGCATGTGCACACACACAGGCTCATTCACACACACGAATCATTAACAGATCAATTGGCCAGCTCAGAGGCTGGGGGAAGGGACAGAACCAGGAGAAGAGAGCTCAGGGGTGGGATGGTCACCACACTGAGGGGCAGAAGGCAGGGAGGGGCTGACCCTGGGCGTGAGGGCCCCCCGCCCAGGGTTATGGTGCCCAGATTTCAGGAGCACCTACCCTGGTTAAAGGTTGGCCAAGACCAGGCCCCTTTCAACCTATACACTGGACCTGGAAGACTTCCCAAATCCATGGGTTACCTTAACGAGGCTTCTGTGATGCAGTAAGGCTGCCTCCCCGGCTCGCAACTGGCACTGCTTGTGCACACCAATTAGTGCGTCCTCGGGGACGTCGCCTTTACCGGCAGGAAAACCATGACTTGAGCTATCTTTACTGAAAGTATTAGAATTCACTTTTTGTTAAAGGTACAGAAATCATTCAGCCATAAGAATATCAAAGATATATTTAGCTAGTTTGCATTTGCTTTCAACCGATTCTAACAGAACTGATAGCCATTTGGAAGGCATGCAGCAGTCCTGAATAGAGTATTGTGTTGAATAAGCTTCAACACGCCATCACCGCACAGTCTAAATGTGCCTTTTCTTCTTATTTCAAGTTGCAACAATACAGGCCTTGTTTCACATTTCTATTTTTAACTAATGAAAATTTATTACAGGGAAATCCTAATTATACCCTTTGGAGTACGATACAATTGGAAATCCACTGGTAATATTCTTTTCTCAAAATTCCATGTAATTGCATAAGAAGCAGAGAATGTAAATTCTCTTGGAATAGTTGGTCTATAAATACAATTCTCGAATGGGCTGAGCAATCTTTCTGTTTCTTTGCACATTTTGTATTCGTTGGGATTAATCCATATTACAGCCCCTGTGAGTGAAAACCCCTTGTTAGACATAAGGCATTGTATATTCTCAGCACATCCTCAACATGGTACTAATGAATTTCCCAGGACCTTGGACAGACCATGAGGAAACATTTCTCACTTGGCAGGTGTTGGGAGGCCTGGACGGCTGGGTCTGGCCCCTAGATGACCACCTGTACCTTTTCCCGTCTGACCCCTTACTTCCTCTCCAAATGAGAAAAGTAGTATAATCTTCACCTAGCATCCAAACCTCCTGGAGGAGGCCCACTTGGGCCACATGAGCCTGCATGGTGGGAGCTGTCCTGTGCATTGGAGGACACTTCACAGCATCTTGGGTCTCCACTCCCAGGTGCTGGTAACATCTCCCCAGTTGTGGCAACCACAAATGTCTCCAGACCTTGCCAAATATCCCCTGGGGCAAAATCATCCCCAGTGGAGAACATGGCACTATTGTCAAAACCAGAGCTGGGCAGTCGTTAAAGCCATAAAATCAGATTATATTCACGACTGTTGCAAAGGAGGAAAAGAGACCAGGCTCAATTCCAAATTTGGCATGGAAAAACAGGAATTGATAGCCACGGTCAGGGTTGGGGGTCAGTGGATGGAAAATTAGCAAGAACAGACTTCAGGGATCAGGGAGTTTTGGCTGAACCAACCTCAGCAGATTCTTGCTGAGTCAGATCTAGGGGATGGCGGAGGATGAGAAATCTGATAAGGTGTCCAGGTGAGCAGAGTAAGGGAAGGGGGGGAAGACTATGGCTAATCAGTTTAGCAGTACTCTTAATGCAAAGGTGAGCATGGAAGTTCAAAATCCTAGGCCTACTGAAAAGTTCAGGGGAGCCTGGGGAGACCATGGCCCAGGAGAGACTCTTGCCTCTAGGCCAAATCAGAAAGCTCAGACAAAGGTTCAAAAAAATCACAGTTCAGATCCCAGGGTGATCTGGTTTTGAAAGGAGCAGGTAAGGCCTTTAGATGCACGTTCCTGCCATTCCTACATCTCCAGGCACTTAGGGATCTCCCAGAATGTAGGAGGCCCTAAGCCACTGCTTATGAGAGGACTGCTCTTCATGATTGCTGGCTGAGCTTGACCTAAGTGCAGCAGAAAATGAGGGAGCTCGGCTGGGCGCGGTGGCTTGCGCCTGTAATCCCTGCACTTTGGGAGGCCAAGGCGGGCGGATCACGAGGTTAGGAGATCGAGACCATCGTGGCTAACATGGTGAAACCCCGTTTCACTAAAAATGCAAAAAATTAGCCGGCCGTAGTGGCGGGAGCCCGTAGTCCCAGCTACTTGGGAGGCTGAGGCAGGAGAATGGTGTGAACCTGGGAGGCGGAGCTTGCAGTGAGCCGAGATCGCGCCACTGCACTCCAGCCTGGGCAATAGAGGGAAACCCCATCCCCAAAAAAAAAAAAAAAAAAAAAAAAAAAAAAGAAAATAAGGGAGCTCTCAAATGGGTGGTCTGATGATCCATGGGTAGGTGTGGGAGCAGGGCCAGGCCATGGAGCAGGCCCATGAGGGCTCAGCATGGTCGGACCGAGGGTGTGCCAAGCCTTCGTGGGTTGAGTCTGCCCATCCTGGAGAACAGGCTGCATCCTGAGGTGCGGGGGGCAGCTGACGGACCTGCTCCCAGGCTGGGCCAGAGCGGGAAGGAGGGGAAGCCAGACACAAGAAGAACGGTGTCTGCATTTGGCCAAACACGTTCTCCCAGCAGCAAACATTTAATTTTTTCAAAAGAATATTTCTAGATGCTTCTTAGAATCCAGTGTAGAACCATAAAGAGATCTATCCACGTGCAGTTAAAATAATGCAAGGGGGAGAGTTGGTACTTGAAAAAGGTGGGCCTCTCACATTTCTTCCATAGGAGTAGAGTCCCGCCTCCCTGCCCTTGTGGTTTGAAAGGGAGTGCTGGTCAGCTGCCCAGCCTAGCACAGTCAGCTCGTGGGGTCCCTCCCTCCCTGCCCACCCTGGGTTCCACCTTGTGCAGCTCCTGCTGCTGCCCACAGTGTCTGGGGCCTTGGCAGGGGCCACCCCTCTGCTATAGGAGGGAACTTCTCCAGGGCCCCTGGGTGATCCCATTCTCCACTGTCCTCTGTGCCTGGGGAGGGGTCCCAGCCTCCTTCTTTGTCACTGAAGTTTCCCTTTGGGGTTAGATCTCAGGACACAAATGGTTCTGTGCATAACTGTCTTCCAGGCATTCGTCCAGAACAAAGGGGCCATGAGTGAGTGAAATGATTGTTCCGATGAAAAGCCTGCTACTTACCCCTCCATGACCCCGTCTCTGCAGCGGCACCTGAGGCCTGGCTTCCCTGCCGTGGGCCGTGGGCAGCACGGGGACCTGGAGTGAGGGCCTGCCCGGGAGACACACCGGTTGGCCTCCGGGGTGTGGTTCTGCCTGCACCTGAGCTGCAGCTTCTCGCAGCCGGGCCCAGGGCTGGGACTTCAATTCCAGCCTCCCGCCCTGGACTCAGCCAAGCCCCGTGCCTGCCAGGAGCAAATGTGCCACCCTTGCTGGGGAGACCACGTCAGGCTTTGTGAAGAGTTGTCAAAGAGACTGTGTTTCTGAAAGAGTTACCTCAAGGAGGGTTTGTAAAGGTTGTAATAAGAACCAGCTGGGTCCCCATGAGTGTGTCTAACTCTCTGCATCTTGTGTCCCTGAAGGACTGAAGGCTGCGGGAGTCCCAGGCCAGAGGAGGCAAAGAGAGAGGACAAAGGCACAAGGACGCCACCCCCACAGATCCTCCTGCCCCTGGAGGAGCGTGTGACCCACTTCCGGGACATGCTGCTGGAGAGAGGGGTAAGGCGCAGCAGCTGAGGGGCTGCACTCCGGCAGCAGACCCTGGAGAACAGCAGCTGAGTGGCTGTCCCTGCCTGAGGGACGTCTCCTCCTCACTGAGTTCCTGATCAGGCTGAGTGACTGTCCTGGCCTGAGAGATGATGTGTCATCCTTACTGAGTTCCTGATCAGGCTAAGTGACCATCCCAGGGCCTGAGGGATGCCTCCCTCTTACTAAGTTCCCAGTTGTGCTGAGTGAGGGGCAGGTGCTAAGTGAGTGGAGGCCGAGGGGCAGCCAATGTGGAGAGGCGGTCCTGCTTCACCTCTGAAAGGAGAAAGGTGCCTTTGTGGTTTCTCCTGTGGGCATGAGGCCTGAGAGGCCGGCAGGTGGGGTCCACAGGGAGGCCAGGTCCTGGGTGGCCTGAGGAAGCGCGCACTGCGCAGATGGGGTTCCTGCGGGAGCTGGGCCAGGTTGCGGTGCCCGACCTCCCTGTGCAGCTTCCCCATGGGGTTGTCCATCCTACCTAGTGGGACTCGCTCCCCTAGGGATGAACGTGACTGTTTTTAAAATAAAATTAGGATATCTTCAGTGTAGCTGATTTCCAAATCTCACTTTGAATTGGGGGCCAGGGGGGATTTTATATTCAGATCCCCTTTCAATGACTATCATTTCCTGCTTTGGCTCTGGGTATAACATGAGCCAGAGGCAGTATTTCAGCCCCGCTGGATTTCCTCAGAAAGTAAGGCTGAATGCAGATGGCAGTGATGGGCCCCACGTGTGAGGATATTTATAATGAACACACAAACGGCCTTTCAGACTGAAGAGCAAGTTTCCTCTGCAGCCAGCACCCACCCCCAGGCTGCTTTCTGGCCCTCCCACAGCTGGTAACTCCCAGGGTCCTGGAGAGGGGCAGGGACGGAGCTGCCTGGAAACGCAGCTCCCTGCAGAACAGAGAGGTCTGAGCAGAACCGTTGTAAGAGTTAGGTTTGTTACATATGCAGGTTTGTTACATATGCAGGTTTGTTACATATGTACCCTTGTGCCATGTTGGTGTGCTGCACCCATCAACTCGTCATTTACATCAGGTATAAAACTCCCAATGCAATCCCTCCCCCCTCCCCCCTCCCCATGATAGGCCCCGGTGTGTGATGTTCCCCTTCCCGAGTCCAAGTGATCTC